AAACAGTAGATGCGTATTTCACTCGTCTTATTGATATGGTGAATAAGATGAGGCTATATGGAGATACGATTGAAGATGGTGCAGTGGTTGACAAAGTTCTTCGAACTATGCCGATGAAGTATGACCATGTGGTGGCTTCAATAACAGAGTCACACAAAACCGAGCTCTTATCAATTGCAGAGCTGAAAGGTATGGTAGAAAGTCATATTGACAGGATTGCGTCAAAATCGGAACCACTAGCAGAAGAAGCTTTGAAGAGTCAAGTCACCCTTAATGTGACTGGCACTAATCAAAGAGGTGGAGGATCTGGTAGAGGTCGTGGAAGAGGAAGAGGAGGTTCTAGTGGAAGAGGTCGTGGTAACTTCAACCAAGGAGGAGGACGTGGTAACTCCAACCAAGGAAGAGGTGGAGGTAATACCAAACAAGGTAAATTTCCATTTCATTGCTACAATTGTGGCAAGTATGGGCACAAGATTGCAGATTGTTGGTATAATGAGGACAACAATCGTGGAAATCAAGCAAACATTGCTGAAAACACTGCTGAAAAGTCTGGTGAGAGTTCTTAAACTTTACTTTTAGCCAGCGATAGTTTTTCTGCAGATAAGAACATATGGTTCTTGGATACTGGGTGTAGTAACCATATGTGTGGTAAGAAAGAATTGTTTTCTGAACTGGATGAATCAATCCGGTCTGAAGTGACATTTGGCAATAAGTCAAAGGTGCCAATTTTGGGAAAAGATAAAATCTCTATTCAGTTGAAGGATGGTACTCAAAATTTTATATCCGATGTGTTCTATGTTCCTGAACTAGACCAAAATTTGTTGAGTATGGGTCAGTTGTCAGAAAAAGGATATAAAATACATATTGCTCAGGGGTGTTGTACCATTGCAGATGCTAAGGGAGTCTTGATTGCAAAGGTAAATATGTCCCAGAATCGACTATTTCCTTTGAAAATTAAGCATACTCTCCTTGCTTGCTTTAATTCTGAAGTTTGTGATGATAATTGGTTATGGCATATGCGGTTTGGGCATTTTCATTTCTCTGGATTAAACTATCTTGCGAGAAAGGAACTTGTTTCTGATTTACCTGTTGTGAATGTCCCTGATCGTATATGTGAGATTTGTGTGATTGGGAAGAAGCATAGAGATTCCTTTCCCGTGGGCAAGTCAAGGAGAGCTACAAAACAGTTGGAGATTGTTCACTCAGACCTGTGTTCGTTGGAGGTTCCCTCACATGGAGGTTGTAAGTACTTTATTACTTTCATTGATGATTTCAGTAGGAAAACATGGGTTTACTTTCTGAAGCAAAAGTCTGAAGCATGTGATGTTTTCAAACAATTTAAGGCTTTTGTTGAAAAGCAAAGTGGTTATGAAGTTAAAATCTTGAGAACTGATAGAGGTACAGAATATATTGCTTGTGATAATTTTCTGAAAGAAAAGGGTATTCAGCACCAAATGACAGCTAGATACACTCCACAACAAAACGGAGTGGCTGAGAGGAAGAATAGGTCAATCATGGATATGGTGAGGTGCATGTTGAAATCCAAGGATCTGCCTAAACCTTTTTGGGCAGAAGTTGTTGCTTGTGCTGTCTATGTGTTGAATAGGTGTCCAACTAAGAGTGTCCGTGATAAGACGCCCGAAGAAGCTTGGAGTGGGAGAAAACCCTCTATCAAATATCTCAAGGTTTTTGGATGTTTGGCATATGCCCACGTGCCGGATCCATTGAGAAAGAAGTTGGATGATAAAGGTGAGAAGTGCATATTCATTGGTTATAGTGACGCTTCAAAGGCTTATAAACTCTACAATCCTGAAACTAAAAAGGTTGTTATAAGTCGTGATGTCACTTTTGATGAATATGGTGTCTGGGATTGGTTAGCTAAAGATGAAAGTTCAGTTGTTATTCCTGTTGTTGAAAATATTGTTGATGAGCAAGCGATTCCAGATAATGTCCAGTCTCCTTCACAACCAGAATCGTCAGTTCGGCGATCTCAGCGCGAGCGCCACTTACCAGCTCGCTTGCAAGATTATGTTTTGGGTCATGATAATGACCTGTCTGATGAAGAGATTGTTCAATTTGCTCTCTTTGCAGATTGTGATCCTTTAACTTTTGAGGAGGCTGCTACAGAAACTCATTGGCTTAAGGCGATGGATGAGGAGATACGTGCCATTGAAAAGAATGGTACCTGGGAGTTAACAGATTTACCTCCTGGAAAGAAGCCAATTGGAGTGAAGTGGGTTTACAGAACGAAGTACAAGTCAAATGGAGAAATTGACCGTTTTAAGGCACAGTTAGTAGCAAAGGGTTACAAGCAGAAACCAGGTATTGATTATTTTGAGGTTTTTGCTCCTGTAAGTAGACTTGATACAGTTCGAATGGTTATTTCTCTTGTTGCTCAAAATGATTGGAAATTGCATCAAATGGATGTCAAGTCTGCTTTTTTGAATGATTTTCTTGAAGAAGAAATATATGTTGAACAACCTGCAGGATTTCTGAAGAAAGGGGAGGAAAATAAAGTGTACAGGTTGAGAAAAGCTTTGTATGGCTTAAAGCAAGCGCCTAGGGCATGGTATGGTTGCATTGATTCATATTTTGTTGAAAGTGGTTTTATGAGATGTCCTCATGAACACACCTTGTATGTTAAATGCACGGATTCTGGTGATATTGTTCTAATCTGTCTGTATGTTGATGATCTGGTTTTTACTGGAAATAACTTGAAGTTAATCTCAGAATTCAGGGAGGCACTCATTAAGAGGTTTGAAATGACCGATATGGGTCTTATGTCTTACTTTCTTGGCCTTGAGGTTGTTCAGATGGATGGTGGAATCTTTATTTCACAAAAGAAGTATGCTGTTGATATTTCGAAAAAGTTCAAAATGGAAAACTCCAAACCAGCTTCAACTCCGGTAGCTGAAAAGTTAAAGGTGTCCAAAGATGAGTGTGGTAAGAATGTGAATGTTACAGCTTATAAAAGTTTAATTGGAAGTCTGAGGTATCTGGTGGCAACAAGGCCAGATATTTCTTTTGGAGTTGGAATACTTAGCAGATTCATGGAGGAGCCAAAAGAATCACATTGGGCTGCAGCAAAGCGAATTCTGAAATATGTGAAAGGTACGAGTAATGATGGACTTTTTTACTCTACTAATGAAGCTGTGGAACTTGTTGGGTATACAGACAGTGATTGGGCTGGAGATATTGAGACCAGAAAAGCACATCAGGATATGCCTTCTATCTTGGTTCAGCCATATTTTCTTGGTCTTCAAAGAAGCAGCAGATTGTAGCACTTTCAACCGCAGAAGCAGAATATATTGCAGCAGCAAACTGTGCTACTCAAGCAGTTTGGTTGAGGAGAATTTTGGAGTTCTTACAACACAAGCAAGAAGCACCAACAACTATTTTTTGTGACAACAAGTCAGCAATTTCGTTGTCCAAGAATCCTGTCTTTCATGGTCGCAGCAAACACATTGATATCAAGTATCACAAAATCAGAGAGTTGGTTGTTGAAAAACAAATCAACATTGAGTATTGTTCAAGTGAATGTCAAGTTGCAGATATCTTTACGAAGCCGTTGAAGACAGAGACATTTCTTAAATTGAAGAAAGATATTGGGATGACCAATATATCCAACTTGGTTTAAAGGAGGCAATGTTATAATAATATTATTATTATAATTTAATTAAACCAAGTATGTGGGAGTTGTGGCAATGCATGCAGATTGAGGATGCAGTAAGTGGGTCATGACTTTACAATACATGGAGCATGCATCTCCTAAATTTATGCTTTACTAGTTTTTGTATTCACTATAAATAGGCTTGTTATTAACTATTTTAAATCATCAATTTGAATCACAAAGCATTCTTTCCTCTCTCTCCCTCTTTCTCTAATATATTAATATTATATATATATTATAGATATATTATATTATATTTAATATATATTATATTAAATATATTATATTTAATATATCTAACACTTATTATATAAATTTAATTTTGTAGTGTTCGATTACTTAGAAAATTTTAATTAAAACCAAAAAATAAAATAAAATGATATTTTTTTCTATGAATAATGCTACATACCTCTCTTATATTTATTTTTCTAATCTTTTTTTTCAATGTGACATTATATGGTTGGACTTTTTGATATTTAATTGTTAATTACTTTTTTTTTAATTAGTGATATGACCAGTAAATTGATAAACATTTAATGAGTGGAAGACATATCAAAAAAGTTAGCGATGACATAATTGTCCTACTTGTTTTTCATAAAAAACATTTTTAATGGAAAACAAAATAGTGAGGGGGAGTCATGAAAAATGTTTTCTTCATTTTTGAGGAAAATATTTTTCATGAACCAAACAAAGGAAAAATAGTTTTCTCAAATTCAAAGAAAACATTTTCTAGCAAACCAAGCATGCCTTAAGGGTTTTAACAAATCAAACTACAAAAGTTCGTGCTCGATATAAAGTATTACTTTAAATATAAATAACAACACAAAGAGTCAACATTGTCTCCATTGAAGCTCGATCTCATGACCTCTCATATGGGGAAGTCACTACATGTCATCTGAGTATAAGGTGATTAGCAAATATAAATACCGTTTTATTTGTCAAAAAGAGTATAAAAACTACCGCCAATTAGACGATTAACTTAGTAATTAATTAATCACAAAGCTCCAAGTTTAACCCAAAAAGAATAAGAACTACCTAATGACATTTTTATTATTTAAAAAAAAAAAAAAACTACTTAATGACATTAACACAATTGACATTTTCAAAAAGAAAAACAAAAGGAACATAAAAAGGCAATTATGAATTGCGTATTATTATTCGATTATTATGAAACAATCTTTTATGAGATTCATAATGATGTATGATGCTACCCACACCAAATAATAATTTACATAATAATTATTATATTACTAAATTATGTATCTAGCTCCATAATCAATTAATATTAAATTATTTACCAAATATATAAGCACAAAAAGAAAGTAGAAGATGCATGAACCAAAGCATTTTTAAATTATCGGCAAAATCCTAGGTTTAGAAAAACACAGGCACAAACGACAACGTCTTAGATCACATACGTCCGGATCACATACAACCGCGTGCACCTTATTATCATAGGCGGGAGTTTAACGCCGTTAACAAACCATCAAACTCCGTCTTAGACTCTTAGGTATTAAGTACAACACTCCGAAAGGAAATCACAAATATTTATACACACAATATGTATGATCAGGGTACGGTGTAGAACACCTGGTGCTGCTGCGTAGCAGGGAAACATTCCTCCACGGGGCCCACCAGGAAGGGATCAAACGAGTCGAACTCGGCACCCAACTGAGTCGGCTCCGGTTCCAGTCCGAGGAACGATTCCAAGTCTGATATCTGAACCTTAAACTCGGATCCGCCCTGGTTATGGTGGCCGTCCGCCGCTCCCACCAATGGGGAGGGGTTCAGGCTCGCCGCCGTAGCAGAGGAGGAGTCAGAGCTTTCCTGAGGGCTGTGAGCCCTGACCGCCACACTGCCGCAGCTTGGCTTGGTCGCCGGCGACGGCGCCGGAGATGGGAAGTTGAGCTTGGCCTTCTTGCCACGGATGCGCGTGGCTGCCACGTCATATGCCCTGGCCGCTTCCTCCGCGGTGTTGAACGTCCCCAGCCAGACTCTAACCCCTTTCTGAGGGTCGCGAATCTCCGCCGCCCATTTCCCCCACGGCCTCTGCCGGATTCCTCTGTACACGTTCTTCCTCGCCCTCTTCTTCTCACTTTTCTCCGCATTTTCAGCTCCTCCATCTTTGCACAGTAAAAGTTCAAGTCACTCCATATATCATAAAGTTACCTCTACATGCACCTATAAATACGTATAATTCCAGGTATATACATATATGATGCCCAATATTACATCCAAAATGTTTAATCCTCAATTCCAATGACCTCACATACTGACCCGACATAACAAATTTAAATCACAGTAACTCAATCCTTAACAAACATGTTAAATGGCCATACAAAAGATCTGTCCACTTTAATTCAAATCTTAATATCTTCTTTAAATATTACTTACCAAACCAGTGAGCTAAGCTCATGCACAATATTAATGCATATACGTGTTGTATACGTATGGATGTATAATACTTGTAAGTATGTGTATATATATATATATACACACGTAGCCCACATACCGATGCAAAAATCAGAAAATTTGTCCATTCAAAAGCAGCAGTTACAGGTCTCTGCTGCCATCAAACGCTGCCACGTTGTGAATTACTACACATGTGACATGCCAGGTTTTTATGCATCATGCATTTATTCCATACCACAAAAAATTACTCGGCTATCTTTTATGACGTCATTTTATTACCTAGAAATACACTATAGGTATGCTGAATAAAAACGAAAATTATTTACATAATAAAAGAAAAAAAAAACAAAAAGAAATGTTACCTTGATTTAGGCGGTTGGTAACAACAGGGAGAGTGGACGGGGAGCTTTGTTTGAGGCCATTAATGGCGGATGAGGAGTTGAAGGACCAGAGCTCAGAGATGGGGTCGAGCTCGGCCCAGAGGTCATGGGTGGAGATTTTGCGGCGGCGGCGCTCGGAGATTGGGTCGTAATCGGAGATGATTGCACCGCCACACATCTTTTGCTCTGTGTTTTCCGGTGAAGATTTCTAGAGACTCAACGTTAGAGAGAGAGAGAGGGGTTTTGTTGGTGGTTTTATAGGGAGACAGTTACGCCAATCAGCAAATAAGGGTAGAAAGGACAAAAATATGGGGGAGAGATCCGACGGCGGAGAAGGCTTGATCACTTTAATTGAGAATAGAGTGGGGTCCACGGCTACAAAATGAGGAGTGTAACGGATCCGTTTTCTGGAACTTTGGTGTGTGTCCGTAAGATTTGTGAGTTGGTGGGGCCAGCGGGTTGGACTCAAGCTCTTTTTGGTTGTTTTCTCCCTACCATTCTGTCATTGCTTAACGGAGAGAAAAAGTATCCGTTTCCTACTTTCCTCGCATAACTATCATAATAATCACCACTTAATTCATAAACTAAGGGCTTGTTTGGTTCGCGAAAAATATTTTAAAGGAAGTGGAATTGAAATTTTATAGAAAAATAATTACTAGGAATATGAATTTCATTATTTGGTTGGTGGAAAAAAAATTACTAGGAATACTAATTCTATTATTTGGTTAGATTTAGAATTGTAAGGAATAACGAGTATAAAGACTTATATACCCCTACAAATTAATAAAAATAATATAATTAAAAAAATAAACAAGGGTAAAATAGACATTCCATTTTATTTTTTCTTCACATCTTCCCTGGAAAACAAAATCCTTAGTCCAACCAAGGATTTTATTTTCCTCAAATTTGAGGAATTCATTTTTCCATGAATTTTGTTTCCATGAATCAAACACAAGAAAACAACATTTTCATCCACTTTAAGGAAAATGTTATCCTTTGAAAAACATTTTCCATGAACCAAACATCCCCTAATTATTTATAAACTTATTGAATGCTAAAGTCTAATATAATTCACATTTCTTTTTGTTGATAACAACTAACAATACTTCAAAAGGATAACAACTAACAACCAACAAATGCCCGTATGAGTTTAACTCAATGGTTCAATAAGCTGTATTTGAGAGAAGAGACCAAAGTTTAAACTTTGGCAACAGTAGTGTGAGGATTATAGTCAAAGTCGATAGATTCCGTGTGTGCACTGACAATCGGCCTTGTCTGTTGAGTCATTGAGTCACCGTGATTTATCTCCTCCCAAATGCTCAATCGAGTTGGGGATTCAACATTTTAGAAGAAGAATAAATAATTTTTTTAATTAATATTTTTATAATTAGTTCCACTTAACTAATTTTCCTTCAATTTTTTTTTTTAGAAGAAAGGACTTAATTTATTAAATCGGACAGAAGACAGTCCACAAGGAACATGGGAGGATCATCAAATCACTCCCTGCAATCTGACATAGAAACGACCTCCCTAGTTATAGTATGGGTAACCTGGTTCGCAGATCTCTTTACAAAACAGAAGCTAATATCATGAATGTAGGATGTTATTTCTTTTACATCACTAATCAGAAAACCAAAAGGCTAAATAAAAGACTCTGAATGTAAAGCATTCAATTTTTCTTCTTACTCTCTAGTTTTGTATCTCAAATGTCCAAATATAACGTAAATTCTATTTTTCTTCTTTGAATTAATTTCAATTTTGGTCCCATGACTTTTGAGTTCTTATCACTTTTGGTGCACAATTTTAAATATTTTCAATTTTGGTGCTTAACTTTGTTATTTTTATCAGTTTTGGTCCTTTCAGCTAAATTGATGGTAAAATATTTTCTGATTTTATATTTTAGGGGCAAAATCGTCATCCCATGGAAAGATATTCAATATTTAAACAAAAGAAAAATCATATTAAGAGGAAAAGAAGAGTTTGCCAATGGTTGAAACTATAAATCCCATAGAGTTGTCTGGTTTCTGCCCGTCTTCCCCATTATTCTCATCGATCAAACACCTATAGATATGATTTTACAGTAATTTTGTTTAGATATTGAAGATGTTTCCTTGGGATGACGATTTTACCCCTAAAAATATAAAATCCAGCAACATTTCGCTATCAATTTGGCCGAAAGGACCAAAACTGATAAAAATAACAAAGTTAGGCACCAAAATTACAAAAATTTAAAGTTGTGCACCAAAAATGATAGAACATCAAAAGTCGTGGGACCAAAAGTGAAATTAATTCTTTCTTCTTTTATCATATCCTAAAAAAAAAAAGTTTTTTCTTTTAATTAATAAACCCACCTTATATATTCAACTTGATTCACAAAATATCATATAATAGTATTAAGGAAAATGACATTTTTTTCTCCCTTGAATTATATGATTATAGCGTTTTTGCTCTCTAAATTGTTTATGTATCCACATTAGCCCTTCAGTTGTTTAAAAGTGAAAATTTTGTTCCCTTTTCTATTAAATATAAAATTTTACTCTAAAAAATAAGTATTTTATTTATTTTAGTTTTCTAACAAATTAGTGCTTATATGTCGGAATCATAATAAATACGAAAAAGAGCAAACACTATTTGTAAATATTATAATTGTTGAGTATACAATATATATAAACATAAATGTGCAATTCAACTATCCGTTTAGGCTTTGAGTTGAGATGGAGCACATGCTTCAATTTGATATCAGAGTCATGCCAAATGTCATGAGTTGAGTATGGTCCACGTGTTGCTTGAAAACCATAAAAAATAATTGGCCCGCACACGTGAGGGGACCCATAAAAAATAATTGGCCTGTACACATGAGGGAGCGTGTTGAGCATACAATATGGATGGAGCACATGCTTCAATTATAATTATAATTTTAAGCTAATGTTAGAAACAAAATTAAGATTTGAACAAAAATAATTTATTAATGCTAATTAATTATAACATTAATATTAATGTTACTAGATATGACCTCGGTTCTGATTTCAAGCCGACGCTTCATGATCCTGGGAAATGAAAAACCAACGAGTTTGATTTTAATCGCCAATTCGAACTTTTTTTTTGTTTTTGGTAAATTCTATTTCTATTTTAAAAATAATCCAAATTTAACAATTTTAAAAATTTTTTTTCTTTTGGTTATGAACCGGAGGCGTTTTGATTTCCCATTTTAATAAACCAAAACGAGAATCTTTTGGGTTTCGGTTCTGAACCGTAACCAGAATCGTCCCTATATTTTCAATTTTGATTTGATTGCTATAGTATTCGATTTGATTCGAACCGAATAATTGTGGTTATATTTAAATGTTACTACCATTAACTTAAAATTAAATTATAATTTATACAAATTGTGTTTGCTCTTTTTTTTTTTTAATAGTTATTCTGATTTTCATATATAAGTAATAATTTGTTGAAAAGTAAAATAAATGAAATACTTATTTTAGTATAAAAATGTCTATTTAATAGAAAAATGGGAAAAACTGTCACTTTTAAAAAATTGAGGGTGCTAATGTGGATATATAAACAATTCAGACGACAAAAGCGCTATAAGCATATAATTCAGGAGGAAAATTTGCCATTTTCCGTAGTATTGTATTAACTAGTATTTGTCCCGTGCAATGCACGAAAATATGTTATAAAAATATACCCTATATGAGGTTTATTAATATATAAAATTTTTGTTATTTAATACTCCCTCTGTCCCATTTTGCATGTCTTACTTTCCTTTTTAGTTTGTCCCAAAATGTTGTCCTCTTTCCAAAATTGAACATCACCATCATTATACTTTTTCCCAAATTACCCTTATGACTTTTGTTTTTATTTCCAAAAGTGAAAAAGTGAAGGGCATAATTGGAAAATACATAGCATTTACTTTAATTCCTTAAAAAGCGTGCAAAAAGCAAATGAGACAACCAATTCGGGACGGAGGGAGTAATTATTATGTGTGAATTCCTATGATAAAATTATGAACATAAATATATTTACAATTAAAATAATATTTAAGGTGGGTGCTTACTACAAATCTTAAACTATATTAAAAATTTAGGTTGTAATTCGGCCTATCAACTCGTTGGTTCTTGCGTGATGATTACACGGTAATTGCCCGGAGATTATATATATAAGATTATAAAGTGTAGAGATGTAAGAAGAGAAGAATGACACAAGATGTAGAGCACAAACATGAGTCCTTTATTTCATTAAGCCTTCACATGTATTTATACTAATCCATACAACCCTTCATATGCTTAACATAAACAATATATTAAGTAGAAGGAAAATGGAGAGTCACAAGATTAATGGCCACTAATAGAATATTTATAACACTCCCCCTTGGTCATTAAATAACTATACTCATGCCTCGTTAAAAACCTCGCTAGAAAAACCCAGTGGGAAAAACCTAGACGAGGAAAAGAGTACACGAAGTATGTTGATCCATGTGTTGCACCGGTTGCCTCATTAAAAACCTTAGCCTAAGAAAACCCAGTGGGAAAAACTTAGCCAAGGAAAAGAGTACAACCATAAGCCTTCTGGGCATAGTCTTCAAGATTTCAAGGGTCTTCAGGACTATCCACTCAAGTGCACCAACATCGGTTGCCTCATTAAAAACCTTAGCTTAAGAAAACCCCGTGGGAAAAACTTAGCTAAGGGAAAAAGAGTACAACCATATGCTTTCGTAGCATAATCTTTAGGATATCAAAAGTCCTCTAGATTGTCCATTCTAGCACAGCTAGGGGTTGTCGCTCCCCCTGAAGATAACAATCTTCTAAGCCTATGCATCCCAATTTTATAAACATATTATTCAAAAGTGGATGTAGGCAGAGACTTAGTGAACATATCTGCAAGATTGTTCAGTGGGGAAAACATTCGCAACAAGAATTTTATAACTCTTCTAGAGTTCATGTGTGTAGAAGGATTTAGGTGCAACATGTTTTGTAAGGTTCCCCTTAACAAAACTATTACTTGCTTGTGCAACACAATCTTATTTGTCCTCATATGGGACATTGGGGGTAAAAATATAACATAACCAGTTTTGGACTTAGCATCATAGGGATCAAATAAAAGAGCCAGTGCCCAAATAGCCAATCAAAACCACATATTGGTTTCTTACATAAACGTCAAAATATTTGTACCTCGAAGGTGCTGGAGGATATGTTAAATACCATTCCAACTTTCATTGTAGGGGGAAACACTAAATGTTGCTAGCAATT